AGGCATGCATGTGTAATCAGTACGAGGCAATATTCACTTTTTATAAACTTATTCTGCATGTAAAATTCATGATTGTTTTATCCAATTCTTATAAGTTTCTATAAATAATGGCTGTATTCATTCCCTGCGGCCGAAAAGCGAAGAATTATCTTAACTATATTTTAAGACTCAACCATAGCATCCATATAACCCACCTCAAACATAAACAATCATAAGATTGTGAGTCAAGACGTGAAAGACAATACAGACACACATGCCCAACAACAGATAATTATTACATCGTGTTTATACTTGCGTCATGTATCCTACATACGTCTTTGGAAAAAAACTCTCCAAGTAAACGTTAAGTGAAAACATTATTTCACTTATGAGTGTAGTTACTTGCAGCGTCCTTTTTTTTCTTTGTTTTGTTCTTTTCTAGACGTATAGTATGCATGTACATGTGTAGTATACATGGTGCAAAGGTACACACAGTATAATATTACTTTTTAAGAACAAACCACTCTTTTTAAAATAATGTATTAAAGAAATGTTTAACGTATACATCCATTAATCTTAAAAAAAACCTGACGTCAAATTGCGTGTTAAAACATATCTAATCTTCTGGGTTCTTAATAACATTAGATATCTGTTGTTTTTTTTTTAAGATAATTGAAAATCCACCGAATGAGTTTAATTAATTTCCTGCCGTCTATTTAGCAAATTGTTTGTTTGAACATTTTAAAACATTTAAAATTTTTTCTCATGTATAATAATTGAGAACTGTGTTAATAGTTAAAATAGTTTCGGTATACACATATGCATTAATGTTGAATCTTATTAATATTACTGTACATCTGTGCAAAACGAATTTCGGCTGTGTAGGCCTAGGCGTGTTTTTCAAACTTTGTTTAACAAGCGAGTGGATAGTTATGCCATTTGTGCACTTTAAAAAATACATGTATAAAAGGGTATTGGATTGGGTGTAGTGAATGTCCACACCCAGAAACTAAAATAAAACTGTTTTTTATGATCATTTCTACAAAGTCCACTTAGCTAAAGAGCTTTTAATGAGGAATTTCATGTTCATACTATATAGCCAGCTTACTACATTAAGTATTAACACAATTATAAACTTCATTGTCAAGTGCTGTAAAACAAAATATGTATATTGAAGCAAGAAATTTTTTAAAAAATTGAGAACTGCAATATAGTCGTTTATTCCATACTAATTAACCATTTTGACAACAACAAAAAATTGACAGCAACAAATTTATTATATGATATCAATTTTTTTCTATAGTAACATAGCTCGCTAATTGCGTATGTTTTGACACCTACGTGTAAAGCCTATGTTATCATTAACTTCATTATATGAACACAACTCGTCAAAGTTTTTGAGAATTATCAAAAAAGATTAACAGGTGACATCACTGGCTGATATGACATTTCACAAAAAATTAATTAACCTTCCTCTAGTATAAAAAGAACACAGGATTGTCGTTACTAAAAATCATTTGCTTAAGCCAATTACCAATGTATATGCTGTTTCGCAAGGAATTATAAAGTAAGTGAAAATGAACTTTTTAACAACTATTTTAACTTGTGTTCATAAAGTAATGAACTTTATCATACATTATTTGTATGTGTTTAATTATCAGGCGTTACCTCTTTTCTAAATTATTAACATGTGCAGAGACAGTCAATGTGGAAAAAAAAGCATGTATCGTGTATACGACCTAAATGAAGATAGAGAGTTTGAATTACATTTAAATTGTGTATATCTTCCTTTAAGGTATTTTAATTATGAAGTAAATGAAAAAAAAAAACAACGGTAGAGTGCTTAAGTAAATTTCTTAATTGTGTTATGTTAATCTATGTGTACTTTATCAAGACTGCCTTCAGATCTGATGATGGGTGTATTCTCTACACTGATACTTCTGCTATTAGCCCTGGAGAGAACGTGTGTGTCACATCTACTAGAGAATAACTACGCCAGGAGGCTGACTATTGCTGATGATCTGATCAACATTGTATTCGCTGAAGATGCCTACACTATGTACGTCGCATTTGTTTTAAAGTACATTTTATTACATGCTATACTACATATTCATCTTTTCCCAGTGTGTTCCTAAGATATCACTTATGAAAAGTCTAATTTTAGTCTTAGAAAAAAAATTCTTTCTTTATTATGTTTTTTCATTGTTGCAATAGCTTGTTTGGTTTTAAAGAAGGGTGTTATATTTGTATTGGTGGAGTGTCTTTTAAAATTGATACTGCTACCAAAATATATGAAATATTTTACGTCCTCTACGTAGACCTATTTCTAACAGATACTTGGCTAGTTCGTCTGATAATTTTTAACTTATCGAAAAAAATTACAAACATAATTGCACAATTACATCGCCAATTTAAATAAAATGTAGAACAAATATGGCACTTTAAAATTTAAAAAAATAAATGTCATTTAGATAATTTACAATATGCAAACTCAATAGTTGAAATCGTAGTTTGAAAAACATTCAATAGAGCTACACAAACTGTGTATGTTTTCAAATAAGAAAAAATAAAATGCTCTATTATGTATGTATCCCAGGTTCTTTGACTGCTTAAATGAGTCATCCATCTACTCATGCCAAGCTCTGGCTAGCACATCCACTGTATCAGAAAACCTACAAGACGTCGGTATAACAGAGATCAGATACACGTATTTGTTGGGCGGCACCAAATCATATCAGCCCAAGATCTGTTCCATCAACGACGTCCATCACGATCACCTGACAGGTAAAAACATCACCTGCCACAAGCAGGTAAACGAGTCAGTCATGAGCTGCAGTCATGAAGTCATCATTAAGTCAAGTTTTTCTCGTGCCTCTGTCCTTAACGATAATGCTAGCATGTGTCTGGACACTGCGATGAACATTTCAATTTTCTACTCCAATTTTAGCCAAATTCTTGATGTACAAACAAGTCATTTTCCTATTGCTGATCATGTTCAAGTGACTTCTCCTGGTATAGATAGAACAGCTAATACACTGGGGGCGTTTACCACATCTTCAATTTATAAAGAAAATGGAAGTTCAGTTTTTGGGAATACAAGGAATGATATTAACGAGAATGTAACAAACATTGATACAACAAAGAACATTATTGTTAGCAAAGATTCAATCATATCTGGGGAAATCACAACGAAAATGTTTGTAACTGAAAATATCTCTGAAAATTCAATCGTAAGCACTAGTATTGTCAATAGGAACATTAACAACAGAGCAAATACAGAGAGCTCTGTTGATATAATAAATGCTGATACAACTTCAGAGAATGAAGGCGTATCTAAAAACACTCCTACAAATACCCAAACAGACACCGGATCCAAAACCATCAACGCTTACATGAAAATAATATTGATATCCGGTATAACTGGTACTTTTATAGTAACACTAACTGGCGCAATTGTTGTAGTATTTTGTTGCAGGCGAAAGCAAAGATGTATTACGACATCTTCAGATATCGAGTCCAACCCGGACACAAACTGGTCAGGTTTGGCTAGTTTTAAAAAACAACCTCAATTTTCTACTTACAGCCATACAAATCAGCTGTACGCCACTCTAGATTTGGATAGAAGTGTGAAGAACGACTACTTTAGCGTGTTTCCGGAAAACACATACTCCACGACCAACTCTTGCAAGAACAAGAACTTGATTAAAAAGGCAACGTTAGCTCCCTTGAAACCTTCAGTGAGTTTTGCAAAAGAGGGAATTTTAGCGAAAAAGTCGACTGAAAGAAACATGAGAGATAGCAGTTTTAGACATATGTACACGTATATAGATGAGGCGTACACAGGATTCGGGGACTGGGATAACGGGTACACATTCATTCCCCCGGATACGTACGCACGGGTGTCGAACAAGCTTCACCAATCATCGGCTGACCGCTTAGCGTCTTCCATACCGTATAGAGCCTCTGATGTCAACTACCTTGTCGTACCGGAAGAGATTCGACACAGTGAGTATTTCCCGATACCAGACATCAACACCGACTACATCCGAACGTCGATACTTGTCGATGATACCAGGCTTAGCGATTACCTAACAATGCCGAATATTTACATTGAGAACAACCATTTTCAACCATTTACCGACTACAAGACTTCAAGCTACATCGACCCTGTAGAAAACAACGGAGCTAACGGCAACACTGTAATAAATGAAGAGAGCCTCAACACAAATTCTCAAAAGTGTTGCACTACCGAAATGGATGAAGATCCTGTTAACGGAAATTCCCACAAATCGTATATTACCGTTGAGTTTTGAAAAAAAAAACAACACATTATTCGGTAGTCAATTTGATTCTTTTAATAAGCTTACATTCTGGATTTTTAATAGAAAAAGCATGTTAAATTACTCTTATTTTTGTGCTATATACTTCTTTAAATAAAAAAAAAATAATTGCATGTCACGTTCTTTAAGTTGTTTATAAATAATTTGGGTATTTTTTTTTCAGAGAAAAAAAATGGAATCTGTAATGCTCTGGGTCATCTATATAATGTGTTTTGTTAGGATTAGACCCACATTTGTGTCAGCGTAAGGAAACTATGATCCATGTACAGACACTTGCATTAACTACACATATACACATTCATACATATATGCATCTATATATATAATTCTCTTCTTGGGTTGTCTAAATTAATGTAACTGACGTGCAGTGTCTTTACGCGTTTGTCGTTTGATATGTCGTCATACATCCTTTGTCGCTTTAATAGAATAGTGTTGGTAGAGGCACGGTCTGTTTGGGTCGCTGATGGGAGTTGGATGGTTTGTCTGTCAGTTGCGGATGGTGTGTCGGTCGGTATAGTTTGGTTGCTGTGTGCTTTAGTAAAGTGTCTTGTTAAATTACTTAGTCTTGTAAATAATTCCCCGCAAGTTGTACATTGATGTCTTCCTCGAATATGTACCGTATCGCGATGCTGAACTAAATTGTCTTTGCGGGTGAATACCCGCTCGCATATGTCACACTTGTTACGGGTCATGGCTGGGTGGGTGGTAGGCTGGGCGGCTTCCATCATGTTTTGTTGACGAGTTGTCTAGTGGGTGGAACTGTTGGATGAGTGGGTAGGTCGCTGGCTGTAGAATAAAAATAAAGATTAAAGTAAATACATAAAAAAAAATACATATTTAAAACAAAACTAAATTGAAAATGAAACGTACCTATGGGTTGGTTTGAACGTCTAAGCTGATCGTGAAGTTAACTATAGGTGGAGATCCGAAGTGGTGTAGATGGATGTAGTTGGATCCTTTGGTTCAGTGGAGGCGTCGGGGATGGGTGGGTAGCTCAATAGGGTTAGTGTGTTGAGCCTGTTTTGTCGATGGGTCGGTTGTACACCAAAAAGGAATACAGTTGACTACTTATTTAGATACATATTTATTTAAAGGGTATTTTAATGGGGTTAGTTCCCTTAAAAAAATACGTACTATTAACCTTACCTCGGTGTACACCACAAAAGTAAAGTAAATACATTCTAATAAGCTTTGATGAAAGGGTATTTTAATGGGGTTAGCGCCCATAAAACAAAAAGTAATATTAACCTTACCTTTAATAGAATAAACACGCACAAAAAGATGTGGCCCGTGGAGGGTTAGGTGGACGTATTGGTTGAGTCCTAAGCTGGCGTGGGTTAGTCTCAGGAGTAAACGGCGGTCTCAGGCAGGATAAGTCGCGGTGATTCTTGGTTCGGAGTGTGAAGTCGATGTGATTAGAACACAATTTTCGCGTTCATTTATACGGTTGGTCGGCCTAAGTGCGGGATCAGCTGTTGCACAGCTGTTGCATAATGACCTACGTACTTCACGGAGAGGCATTTAATGGCTTCGATTAATTATCTGGTGTGATCGCTTCAGTGAACCCGACATAAATCCATAATGCGTGACCAATTTAATTAGGCTGGCTATCATGTTGATGATGGTCAGTGGGTGCGATCAATATTAACTCGGACCGTATACGGTCCCTCTCAAAAACAAAGGTTCGCTTTTGAATCGATAAGTAACAGCTGTCGCTAACGAGTAACAGCTGTGGTTTAATGGATGTTGAGAGAAAGAATGTTCTATTTTCGGTACACGTTCGTTGTGTTGGAGAATTTAACCTGTTTTTTGTACACGTTCGTTGTGGGGGAGAATTTAAAGCAACATACAAAGAAATAAAATGAATTTCAAAAAAATAATCAAATTACGTAACTAGTTAATAAAAAAGTTAAAAAATCATAATTAAAAAATTAAAAATTTAAAAAATTAAAATCAAATTACGTAACTACTCAATAAAAATTACACAATATAAACAAAGTAATTAAATTAAACAACAAGTAAACAAACAAAGTAAACAATTTAAAATCAAACAAATAATCAAGTTACGTAACTCGTTAATAAAAATTAATAAAAATTTAAAAAATTAAATTCAAACTCATAAAAAAACTCATTAAAATTACGTAACTATGTCAATGATGACGTCACAAGGTCACTAATTACGTCACAATGTCACTGATTACGTCACAAGGTCACTGATTACGTCACAAGGTCACCGGTGGTGACCTACTGACCTACTTCCCCAACCACCTCCCCCGCCACCAGGCGGGGGAGTATTTTACTATATAACATGTTTAACCCTCACCATCCTGCTCCCCCAGGTGGGGAAGTATTTTACTATATGTCGGTGTCCCTCCACCTCCCCCAGGGAGTATTTTACTATATGTCGTTGTCCCTCCGGATCCCCCCACCACCACCCGGTGGTGGAGTATTTTGCTATATGTCATTGTCCATCCGCATCCCCCATGCGGGGGAGTATTTTCCTATATAGCCTTTGCTCCTGCTCCTGCTCCACCATGCGACCCAAAAGGGACCTAGTATACTACTTCTAAGGCAGACCGTATTATTTTGATTACCAGTACTTATATACATAGGATGATTTAAATAAATTGTGTAATTTACCTCAGTAAAAAACGACCTTTTAATTACATATTTTTCAATAAAATGAAAAGCGTCGGTGGTAAAGGAATGCTTTCGTTTTTATAGATCGAGGGAAAGTGCACGTGATAATTCGTGACAGAACTGAATTGTAAAAATAGACTACCCCCACTTGGACTGACGTATTGATGGTGCAGTTGCGTTTGATTGCATAAGCTGTTTATTAGTAATGCACGATGTCGGGACACAAGCATAAATATCAAATTATTACTACTATTCGAGTTCGCGGGGTCGACGATGGAATATTTAGATTTTATTAAAGAGTTTGTTTATTGATCTTTGCTAGTAATAGCAATACCGAATGAATTTGTAACATAAGGTGTAATACCTGCTTGAATGGATGGCGTTGTTGTGTTAGTATTTATTTTTGTATTTTCTAGATTATGTAGTGTTGTGATTGCTCTCTTTATCGTAGTAGCTACTTCACTTGTCAGCATTGTCAAAGGTTTCGTGTTTGTAGCTGCTTGACTGAGAGATGTCGTAGACTGGTCAATAGTAATGGTACTGACTACCTTCTTGCACACAAATGATTTATTATGGTAGCAAGAATAATCGTGCAACTTGTCTGAAAGGAATCAATATTTAATATAGTTTATATTCGATTCATTACAATCATTTGATCTTGTAAATGTAATTGATTACTAGATAAATAGATTTAAGATTTATAGATAAATAGAGTGATAGAGTGATAGTGTGATAGATTGATAGATTGATAGATTGATAGAATGATAGATTGATAGATTGATAGAATGATAGATTGATAGATTGATAGATTGATAGATTGATAGATTGATAGATTGATAGATTGATAGATTGATAGATTGATAGATTGATAGATTGATAGATTGATAGATTGATAGATTGATAGATTGATAGATTGATAGATTGATAGATTGATAGATTGATAGATTGATAGATTGATAGATTGATAGATTGATAGATTGATAGATTGATAGATTGATAGATTGATAGATTGATAGATTGATAGATTGATAGATTGATAGATTGATAGATTGATAGATTGATAGATTGATAGATTGATAGATTGATAGATTGATAGATTGATAGATTGATAGATTGATAGATTGATAGATTGATAGATTGATAGATTGATAGATTGATAGATTGATAGATTGATAGATTGATAGATTGATAGATTGATAGATTGATAGATTGATAGATTGATAGATTGATAGATTGATAGATTGATAGATTGATAGATTGATAGATTGATAGATTGATAGATTGATAGATTGATAGATTGATAGATTGATAGATTGATAGATTGATAGATTGATAGATTGATAGATTGATAGATTGATAGATTGATAGATTGATAGATTGATAGATTGATAGATTGATAGATTGATAGATTGATAGATTGATAGATTGATAGATTGATAGATTGATAGATTGATAGATTGATAGATTGATAGATTGATAGATTGATAGATTGATAGATTGATAGATTGATAGATTGATAGATTGATAGATTGATAGATTGATAGATTGATAGATTGATAGATTGATAGATTGATAGATTGATAGATTGATAGATTGATAGATTGATAGATTGATAGATTGATAGATTGATAGATTGATAGATTGATAGATTGATAGATTGATAGATTGATAGATTGATAGATTGATAGATTGATAGATTGATAGATTGATAGATTGATAGATTGATAGATTGATAGATTGATAGATTGATAGATTGATAGATTGATAGATTGATAGATTGATAGATTGATAGATTGATAGATTGATAGATTGATAGATTGATAGATTGATAGATTGATAGATTGATAGATTGATAGATTGATAGATTGATAGATTGATAGATTGATAGATTGATAGATTGATAGATTGATAGATTGATAGATTGATAGATTGATAGATTGATAGATTGATAGATTGATAGATTGATAGATTGATAGATTGATAGATTGATAGATTGATAGATTGATAGATTGATAGATTGATAGATTGATAGATTGATAGATTGATAGATTGATAGATTGATAGATTGATAGATTGATAGATTGATAGATTGATAGATTGATAGATTGATAGATTGATAGATTGATAGATTGATAGATTGATAGATTGATAGATTGATAGATTGATAGATTGATAGATTGATAGATTGATAGATTGATAGATTGATAGATTGATAGATTGATAGATTGATAGATTGATAGATTGATAGATTGATAGATTGATAGATTGATAGATTGATAGATTGATAGATTGATAGATTGATAGATTGATAGATTGATAGATTGATAGATTGATAGATTGATAGATTGATAGATTGATAGATTGATAGATTGATAGATTGATAGATTGATAGATTGATAGATTGATAGATTGATAGATTGATAGATTGATAGATTGATAGATTGATAGATTGATAGATTGATAGATTGATAGATTGATAGATTGATAGATTGATAGATTGATAGATTGATAGATTGATAGATTGATAGATTGATAGATTGATAGATTGATAGATTGATAGATTGATAGATTGATAGATTGATAGATTGATAGATTGATAGATTGATAGATTGATAGATTGATAGATTGATAGATTGATAGATTGATAGATTGATAGATTGATAGATTGATAGATTGATAGATTGATAGATTGATAGATTGATAGATTGATAGATTGATAGATTGATAGATTGATAGATTGATAGATTGATAGATTGATAGATTGATAGATTGATAGATTGATAGATTGATAGATTGATAGATTGATAGATTGATAGATTGATAGATTGATAGATTGATAGATTGATAGATTGATAGATTGATAGATTGATAGATTGATAGATTGATAGATTGATAGATTGATAGATTGATAGATTGATAGATTGATAGATTGATAGATTGATAGATTGATAGATTGATAGATTGATAGATTGATAGATTGATAGATTGATAGATTGATAGATTGATAGATTGATAGATTGATAGATTGATAGATTGATAGATTGATAGATTGATAGATTGATAGATTGATAGATTGATAGATTGATAGATTGATAGATTGATAGATTGATAGATTGATAGATTGATAGATTGATAGATTGATAGAT